CCCATTGTGAGTTTAGTCCACTGAGTCCGGGACTCGAACTGCAGTCAACTACATGGGAGTCCAGCAACATAGCCATTATGCCAACTGCTGTTCCAAGGGAAGTTGAAACCATCTTTGTCATCTGTGTTTCTCATAGAGTGGCTATCGGTTTGTATAGAGTCAATACCAGGAGTTCTTTTACTAAGGTTCTTTTCTAAATGCTCTTTCAACTGCAAAATTTATGAGGTGAAATGCCATGCCCCATTTGTCTCACTTTATCAGTGACTGAAATAATTATTTATGGATAAAAAATATATATTTAAAATATCATATAGCTGCTAAATATTATTAAAATATCATAAATTCTCATATTAATTAGATTTAATTTTTGTAAGAACCCTTATTGTTCAGTTTTCAGATCTCAAAGGGAAAACTACCTGAACATGTAATTTATTTTTTATGATAATTGTCTAACCTCATTTATTTCTGGCATATATGGTTTCATTTGCTTAGGAACTCCTTAATTGATAAATTTCCCTCTTAATGAAAAATAAAATCTCTGTGTATTCTCTGCATTCTTACCAATTGGTGGCTGGGGAAGAACTATTAAGTAAGTACTTGTTTCAGTGGGAAGATAGACTGAGCTATGTCAATCAAGTAGCTAATATCTTTATTCAAAATATGCAGTATTTTAAAATGTCAATCTCAAGTGTGAAAAGGAAACTTCTGATGAATGACAGGGTTACTCTTGATAGCATGAAAGTGGATTCAAAAGTTGTCATCAGAAATAGGACATTTCAGCTTTCATTTGGGATTTGCCTGGCACTTTTTTCTTATCTGTGTGTAAATGCAAAATTCTCTAGACTTACGATGAGAGAGTTTATAGAAACTTGCAAATGAATTTTCATGGTAAATTGGTCCAAAAGAAATATTATGGTAGTCAATGGACTGCCAGTATCCTGGATGTCTAGAGAAAAGAGAGTTAATTTCTGCCCATGCTACTCAAAAGCAGGTAACAGCCCTCTTCACTTCCCTGGTGTTAGACAAGTACAGTGACAGTTTGGCCAACTGTCCCAACATGTTCTTTCTAATTTCAAGTGTGGTTTGTTGCAATAGCCCCATCAATTAAAGAAGTCACAAATGGGTTTATTTACCAGGAAAAAGGTTTGTGTGCATGGGTATGTGAGCATGTGCATATGTGTATGTGCGTGTGTGTGCTTCTAATGGCTATCGGCAGTGGCCCAGCCCCTTTTCAGAACTAAGATAAAGCTGGAACTATAAAGGCACAAAGAAAGACAATGGCAGTTAATTTCCTATGCAGCCATAAATTTAACATTAAGGCTTTCCTTCTTCACTCATCAACTACCTGGTTTCATCTCCCCACCTGCTACCTTCTGTCATCTAGAGAATTACTTAATTTTTTCTTTTGTTTATTTTTGACTTGGGGAGAAAAATAGACAGTGTTTCATTTGTTCAGATGGAAAGTAGAATGTTTATGGAGTGACAGAAAACTAGACGTGGGTTGGCAGATAAAGATCCTGACTAGACATGTGTCTGTAGTCACAGAGCTGAATTTGACATGGAAATTTTAGTTCCTAGGTTTGTAATAGCCAGTCCTTTCATATTCTGCAACATTTAAGTTATTAAAAATTAACCCCTGATGTGAGAGTTCAACGTTGAGTCTCCATGAAGAAGAAAAACCATGTAGGTTTGTTCCTAAGGTCAAGGACAGGAGTGGACCTGAAGTAATAAAGATTTTACTTCTTTACTCTGGCTTAACTTCAAATCAGTCTGTCTGCCATCTCTCTCACTCTCTCTATTGCTCTGTTTGAAAGTCGGGTTTGGAGTTGGAACCACTCACAGAAGAATCAGTGCTGGACTTGCATCTCCAGTTTACCCTAGAAACCCACAGACTATGGATGTCTCTGCCTGCATAGACCGAAATTAGAGTAGACCTCCCTAGTGGAAGAAATGGAATTTACCCACGCTTGTTTGGAAGGTTAACTCATCAATGTCAACTCATTTAGTTGTTGGCTTCTCTTGTCCTTTTCCACTGAATTTAAGATATTCCTGGTTCTTATATGTCAAGTGATTTTTCAGTTGAAACAGACATTTTTATATTATGTTATGAAACTTAGGATCTTATTGAAATCTGTTTTAATTGCCTTTGTCTATCACCCCTCCAGCAAGGGAAGCAGTGGGTACCACCTTGTCACTCCCACACCTGAAGGTAAAAACCCAGGTGTTCTCTGGGGATGGGATTGTTCTTGTTACTCCTGGGCAGGAGTGAGATTTCCAGATGCCCGTAGAGTCTCCACTGACCACAGTAGGTGCAGCTTTCTTCCTAGTGGGTGGCGATTTGACACCACTCCCAGTATTAGGGGGAGGGGAGAGATCCCCAGTTATTGCTGGGTAGAGGTGGAAGTCCACCAACACTGGGAGGGTTGCTACATTACCAGCTGGCAGGCATGACAGTCTGGCTGACCTATGATACTGCTCTGGCAGGAGATCTTAGGACTCTGAGTTAGAGCTAGATCTCAGGTTTTTGTTGAGGCTTTTTTTGGTCTGTACCCATTGGTGTTTCTGGGTGGCTGACTTCTGTGCCCAATGGTGTTTCCAGGTTGTGAACTTCTTCAGTTACAAATCTGAGGCACAAGAGATGAAAAGAAAACCAAGAACCTCACCACCGTGTTGTTTTTTGAGTTTTGAGGTCCCAGGCTGGTCTGCCTTCTCTTCACCTCATAGAGTCTTCTTACATTTGTTTTATGCATGACATCTAGGTTTTGTTTTTTTTTTTTTTTTTTTTTTTTTGTGTGTGTGTGTGTGTGTGGGATGGCCATACTATTTAGCAAGAGGAATAGGAAAAAGTAACTCTACTCCATCTTCCTGGAAGTTCTTGCTATTCAGTTTTTGCTTTCATATCATTGCCACTATTTTGTTGTAAACGTTTTAAAAAATACAGAGAAGGAAGAATTGTACTCCGCACCTGTCTTTCACCTAGATTCCACACTTAATGTTTTACTACTTTTTACTTTATTGCACATTTATCCATTTGTACATTCCATCTATCCACTTATCATTTTGGATGGACCTTTTTTCACTCCCCCCAAGTATTTTTCCATGCCTATTATTAGACTTATCTAATTAATTTATGATACTTATGTTTCTCAAGTTGGTGTTCATTTTTTAGAGGTTTTTGCCATAGGTCACATGTGTTTGCTGTAGAGAGAGACAGTTGAGAAAGAAAGTGAGAAATCACCCCCTAGGGGGATGGCCATACTGCAATTCCTTCTCCATTTTCCTCCTGGGATACTGGGTATGCGTCCACACACACCTGGCATGATTTTCAAGCCACCGGGTCCAGGACTTGAACTGCAGTTGGCCACGTGGGAATCCAGCAATATAACTACTATGCCATCCAGCGGCCCCTTTGATAATTATTTTTACATTTCTGTATCTCTAAGAGGAAAACACTGTTTTGGATTTTTTCCCTTTCCTTTCTTTTTTTCCCCTTTTTTCTTTCTTTTCTTCTTCCTTCCTCCTTCTCTCCCTCTCTCTTTTTTCTCTTTCTCTGGTTTTTTCCCTCTCTTTCTTCTTTGACCTTAGATTTATTTTGCCTGTTGTAGAACTTGATGTAAATGGACACACAGTACCTACTCTTTTCTGTGTGACATTTTTGCCATAGTGTCTTTGAGATATATTCATGTTGTCTTATGGATCAACAATTGGAGTGGGAAAAAAAGAACCACTGACCCACTGAGGGGTTCTTTTTTCCCCCCTCCAATTGTTGAGTGCTTGCTTATTGAATAATCCTTTAATTTATCCATTCTTGGTTGCTTCCAGTTCTCTATCATTAAAATTTGATCATTGTGGAGGGGGAGTGTAGCAGCTGGTGTGTGGTTAAAGCACTGGATTCCCACATGGCTAACCTCAGTTAGTTCCAGACCTGGAAGCTTGCTTTCTCACTTTCCCTCTCTCTCAGTCTCTCTCTGATCAAATTAAAAAGTAATAATAATAATAAATTAAATAATTTTTTAATTAAAAAAAATTTATAGTGGGGGGAAGAGTCCAGAAGGTGGCGGGGTGGTTAAGGTATCTGGATTCCTACATGGCCAATTACAGTTCGAGTTTCAGACCTGGTGATTTGAGAATTTATGTTGGTACATATGCATGCGTGCCCAAAATCCAAAGAGGGAATGGAGAAGAAGGGATTGTATCATAGCTGTCACCCCTGGGAAATGATTTCTCACTTTCCCCCTCTCTGGCTCTCTCTGGCTCTCTCCTCTCCAGCAAACGTATGTGCTTTATGGCAAAAATCTGAAAAAAATTTGATAGTTAGACAATATAAGGTATTCCTATCTCACTTCTGCTTGGAACACAGTACAGAGCAATTTAAGATTTTGTGCTTTTCTTCTGACTGATAAAATGATAAAGATATAGAAAGATATTTGTCTTACTATACTTAATATTGACATGTTCCACATATTTCTTGTGTTAGAGATAACTATCAGTTTATTTGAAACTGAAAACTTTCATAATAGAAGCAAAATACAGGAGTATTATTATAAAAATAGGATTTAGCTTCCTAGCACCAAATTTATGGTTTTAACTTCTTCATAACTGTAATATTCATTATTGAGAATGTCTAAGTAGTCTCTGGAGGAACATCCTATTCCAGGAATATTTAGAATACTATTCCCATACAGTTAATAGAAGTAATGGTTGCAGATGGAATCAGCTGTGTTTCATAGACCCTTATTAGTCTGGCCTTACCTATTATGTAAGTCTCTTCCTTCTGTTTCTATTTCTCCAAAATGATTACCAAAGGGGACTGTAATTTACCATTGATTAATTTACTGATTGATATCAGGGGAATCTACCAGCTGAGAAATGGGACAAAATAGACTGTACATGCGATTCCAGTTAGAGTGGGTTTGCTTACTTTTCATAGCCTCAAAGAAATAGATGACATTGTTTCAGACTTTTAATATAGCCTTTTTCTGACATTTTTATTTATACAGTTGATGGACTGGACAAAGCATCTATAGCAAACTCAGATGGCCCCACAGCAGGGTCCCAAACACCTCCCTTCAAGAGAAAAGGAAAATTATCCACCATCGGTAAAATCTTTAAGCCTTGGAAATGGAGGAAAAAGAAGACCAGTGACAAATTTAGAGAAACCTCAGCAGGTATGAGTATGATCACTTCATTAGGAGAGCTTGTTAAACTTTTCAGAAGGCAGAATATTATGTTTTATAGGGTTGTTTTTTGTCTTTATTTTTTCCCAGAAAACAATATATATGCAAAATGAAATTATTTCATTTAAGGGTGAAGCAACACAAGTGTTTTGATTTGCTTTCTTTTTTTGCTGACTTTGGCTTGTTACATGTATTCTTATTTTTAAGGATGTATTTGTAAATGCGTATGAAAAACTGATTTGTGATGAAAATTAGAAATGGAAATTTTATTCATGAACACAGTAGTGGCAAATACCCATTTTTACAAACACTTTTTTTATATTTATCTAGCAGTTCTAGTACTACGGTCTTATTTGTTAATTAAAACTTAAAAATGTCTTTTGTGATACATTTGTTCTGTGGGAAAAATTTAAATGGCTGTATGAGAGAGAAGTGTTGGCATATTTCTTGTTTAATTTTAAATTTCTGTCATGTCCTTAGGATAAAAAATTATCTCTGTCCTAGGAGAGCTACACCCCTTTTGGTGTGAAATTTTTTTGATTATTATTTTAATTTGGGAATTGGCTAAACCTTAAGATGTACATTGCTCAGTGCTTTATATAAGGACTCATGGAAAAAATGGGCTTTAAAGCTCAGGCCAGTTGTAAGCCTGATTTACATAAGTACCAGTGCCAGTGGTACTTTATTTGAGTTATAAAGGCATTCTCTCCTGAGTGACTTCAGCTTTCTCCATGCTTACTGTCCAGAACAATCCCTTCATTAAAATCCCTCACTGTGCCACTGTCTCATATTGTCAGTGGATGTACAGGGTCACAGCATGTCTTATAGTCTGTGCTAAGATAAGAGCTGGCCTTTAGTTCTAGAGCTATGATATATAAGAGAAAATATTACATACAGCACAAGGATGAGGAATAGGGAGAATATTGTCTCTGATGTCTTTGCAGCTGTATACTTTCTTTGAGTATTTAATACTTAACAATAAATGGTGATAAGTTGTCTGAGATTTGTTTCAAAATCATCTGCAGGAGGGGAGAGGTGGGTAAGACTATAGCTGAAAGACTGGCCCTGAGTCGACAATTATTTAAGTTAAGTTGGGCAGTGACTACATGGGGTTTGTTATTCTCATCTCTCTCTTTGTAGATATTGGAAATTTTCCATAATAAGGAGAAAAAGAAGAAAGACTGGGCTTAGGGGAAAATAATGACCGCTTGGCTGCTGGATTCGTTTCAGTGCCTGGGTGGCTTCCTGGATCAGGAGGCAGTGGAAAATAGTAGATGGTGTGTTGTCCTGGGTGAAGACACGTGGGTGGTGTCCTTGTCACCAAGATGGCAGGCAACTTTGAGCAAATTAGATCAGCTTCTGAGCTTTGGTTTTCTCATCTACAAAATCAGGGAATTGAATAAGTTAAATTCTAAGGTACTTCAATTCCAGATTCTGTTGGTTTTCAAGGAGACCATTGACTCATTCAAATCCCTGGCTGGGCAGCTTGTTCTCCCTTGTTCTTCAGTTGTGGATGAAACCATGTTAGCCTTTAAGAGATTTCTCATAGTTCCCTAAACTTCAGAGATCTGGCTTTTCAAATTGCCGTGGCTACCCAAGGTGAGAGTAGGGTTCTGGACAGTAGCATGAAGAAGAAAATGAGAAGAGGATGGAAATCTCTTCCATTGTCTCTTGCACTTTACTGAATCTGGGCTATTAACTTCTCTCTCATTGAAGTAGAGAAGACATGTGCAATGGACTTCCCTTTCCTCTTTCCTGGTCACCTTTTAAAAATTATTTTAGCAATAACACATTTCCACTAACCCTGAACATTTAAGAAATGTCATTTTAAATAGCACTAAGTGATATTTTATTATCCAGTATTTCCTGAGATTGAAGATAGCCTGTCGTTTTATATTGTTTCTTTTCAAATTCACACAGGATCTTATGTATGTTTAGCTGGAAGAAATTATTTGTGAATCTACCAAATTCCATCTAAGACCTGAAAAACGTGTTAAATATCTTTCTTTATAAAGTTATCTTAAACACTGAAATTGAGCTGTTTGTATATGGTCAAGGCCACATGAAGTCTGGCAATCTACAAAGTATACCTTAGGCTGACCCTTAATATTGTGGGGTATGAAAGGAGGTGAATTTCTTCTAAGAAAAGTAACTTTATGTTTGTCCTCTTAAATTCTGACATGGAATTTGCACAGACGTGACTCTTACTGTGTTACACCACCACTTTCCTAGCCTGGGTTTCTATAGTAGGTATTTTTCACTGGTTAGTACATAGGATGGAGCACCAATTTTTTAATGCCACTATAATAACATATTTTGATGATGGTCCTTGAGTCAGCTATACAACAGTTCCTCCTATGGTTTCTCCTCCCATGGTTTCAGTTCTATCTTCTAAAGATGAGTATAGTAAGGTATTTTGAGAGAGAGAGACCACACTGAAGTAACTTTCATTGCAGTATATTGTAATCACAGTCTATCTTATTATTGCTTATTGTTAGTTTCTTACTGTGTCTAATTTATAAATTAAGCTATCATAGGTATGTATGTGTAGGAAAAAAACATAGTATATATAGGGTTTGGTACTATCCACGGTTTTGGGCATGCGTTGTGGGTCTTGGAACATATCCCCCGTGGATGGGACAGGGGGATTACTGTATCGTGGGATGCTCCTTCTAACCCCAAACTACATCTTGTTCTATTAGGATGTCTGGGCTGGTGACTGATTTCCAATTCTTTGGCCTTGTTTTAAAGCACAAAGTTCCCTCATCTTTGACTGATTTAGGCTAGTCTATATCTGCCTGTCAGGTTCTCAGGCAGGATGAGATTTCTCTTTTCCATCTACTTTTCAAGTGCCCCCTCTTCTTTACATTTTCCAGATAAGAGGGCCCTTCTTCACTCATAGCTATTTCTTCCTGTTTTGTTCTGCTTTGCTTTGTTTTGGGAGTAACTGAGTTTCCTTCCTCTGGATATTTAAATATGCTTGTATGTCCCCAAAGGTAAGAATGCAAACAAATACTCAGTGGAACATTGGTCTCTCACCATCAAGACAACCATCTTGAAAATACAACCTGCAGTCTCCTACCTTCTTCCCATACTCTTATTCCATTTCCCTCGCTGGTATATCTTTGCATCCAGAACTCTACTGAGGACACACCAAGCCTCTTCACCATCCCATTTAGTGTCACACTATACTTTCGTCCATTTCAAATGCCATTGCTAAATAGTCCTTCTTGATTTATAAAATGCCTCTTCTTTGATATATAAAATTTGCTTTATCTGTTCTCTCCTTGCCTCCTCTCTTCTCCTAAACTGCTGAGGGATACTGGCTACAAATCAATTTCCTTTTTTGAATGTACCCTTTTTTCCAATACCCATGCCTTTGAAAGTTGTCCAGGCTCCACCTGATGCCCAGGCACACTAAAGTACCTGCCGGGCAACCTTACCAAGGGACAGCATGTGAATTAAAATCCTCTCAAATGGGACTGACCCATGACTTAGTAGTTAAAGGGGATGGAGCCCATGTGACTGACCATAGTTCAAATCTTGGCCCAAAGAGCTTGAAAAATATCATGAGTATGTGTACACATGTGCCCAAAAATCTTAAGAAGATGGAAAATTGGAATAGAAGGGATTCCAGTATAACTATGCCCCACTGGAAGGTACTTTCTTTCGCTCTGTCTCTCCTGTCACTCTGGAAAGTGCATGTACCCTCTAGTGATGATTAAAAAAAAAAATCTATTCATACAGTCTACATTGAAAACAAGCTACATGCCAGGCACTGTTCTGGAAGGTTGATACTCTATAGCAAATAAACCAGAATGAATGCTTCTGCTCTCATTTCAGACAGGCGAGATACTGATAAATGCTGCAAACAGCACAGGGTGGGAAGAAAGAAGGAGTGAAGAAGTCCTCTGTACAAATATATTCCAGCCAGAATAGATCTCCAGCCAACCCCCACTGTCCCTGCTATTGTAGATATGGCTTTCGTTGACATCCAGACTTTGAATCATGGAGTTCTTTGACACTTCCTTGTCTCTCACCATCTTCTACATTCTATAATTTAATTCCTCCAAGTCTAGGATATTTAATATCAACCCATCCCCACAGTCCCTCTGCCCCATCCTTATCACCCCTTGTTTTAATTATTGTAGTACACTTTATGTCATACTTTAGTATGTGTGACTAACTATAGAAAGCTAGAGAATGAGGCTGGGTCTGCCAGTAAACTTGCCTACAAGGGAAACTTGTCCTAGTTGGTGAGGCTGACAGAGGAGTTCAGGATCACATGGGGTGGCCTGGAATCCCAGCCTCAAGCCAGGCCAATAGAGAATGGGTACATCACAGCAAGATGGCACATGTTCTAACAGATACATGTTTAATACAGAGCATCGGGTGATGTTGGAAAATCCAGGCAGGCCTCAGTAGCTAGGCTGTTTGTTCTTTACCCAAGTTGTGGTATTCATGGGCAGATAAATGGTGTTTGGTAAAGAGGTGAGAAAGACTCAAACAAGATCCCATGCTTTTTTAGGGAGCTGGTTACTAGGACAGAAACTTTCCAAAGGCCTGAGGACAGAGACTCACTGTATAAAGTGGGATACAAAGGATGAAATCTGGGGGACAGGCTTTCTTGGTGCTGGACCTGCTATTGCCAGATGGCATAGCCTGAGAGCTGGGTGGGCGGAGAGACACAGGCTTGCTGTGGATGGTGGCAGTTCTGGCTATGTGGATTGGGGGAAATTGATGAGCAGTGCACCTGTTTCTTCTCGAGATTATCCTGGATATTGCCATGAGGGAACATTCCTCAGGTAGAACTTTGGTCCCATCACTTCTTGACCATAAAGTATTATTGACCCACATTGTTTTCCTGAAAGATTTCAAATTCCTCAGCTCTCTTCAGTTTAACCCACAGACCATTCTGAACTTATTTTCTTTCTTTCTTTTTTTTTTTTTTAATTTCCAGAGGCCATATGTACCCTCTTTTTAAATTTGTC